TATGTATTGTGTATATATATATATATACAATAGGTTAATAAAGGCAAATAAAATCACAATTAATAGTTTACTATATATAAGTAGTGCATGCAATGTAAAATCTGCGACTTCTGAGAGAACACATTACAATTTTCTCCTGAATGTATCATTTCGTTTTTTATCATACCTGACTACCCTGCTATTGTGTACTTTTTAAAACTAAAATCCTACACCTTTATTTAAAAATAACAGGAGAAAAATGTACAAAAAAGTAACATCAAATTGATTAATAGAATGCAAAATAGAAATTTAATATATTTCTTTGCAAAAAATTATTTAATACAATTCACTATATGTTAATAATAAATTAATAATAACGTCTTTCGTTCGAATTTGACCTCTATAAAACAAAACCAAACTTTGAAGGTCACGATAACAAGAGCATGGTTCAAGTTAAAGAGACGAAAGAAGCAGACGACAGGTTGCAGTGATGATGACAATTTCAAACACGTTGATTGGATAATCATTCACGGCAACTTCGTGTTGAAGTTTCAAATAATTTTCCTTCCAAAAGTAAAGTTTTATAATCTATAATTTTGTTATATTTATATCTATAATTATAAATCTGCTTATACAACTATATGCGTTCATTTTACAATCAAATTTGAAATATTTTTTTAGTTTTATGCATACTTATGCATCTATTTTGATTTTTAAGACAACATTCATAATATTTTTATTACGTACAAGTTATTGTATTATATAATAAATATCATTTTGTAAATTAAATATCATCGAAATTTAATACAAACATTTAAAGAACTACAAAAGATACAATATTTCTTTTCGCATTAAAAACACTATTAAATAGATAAACAGTAGTACATAGTTGCATAGTACTAGAAAAAATTTTTAACAACACGTATTGTACGAATTTACGAAATATTTTGTAATATAACAAAAATAATGATCTTTCCGAAAATTGTTCTTACTTAAGAACCTTGGATATTATAAAAGCCGTTTTTTAACACTAAGTATTTTTGGAAATATTGTAAATATGTAAAATTAAGCGAGTGAATACAATATATTAATGCATTTTTCAATTTAATAGTATTTCTACAATGCGATTAATTAAAAATCGGTAATATTTCTTGTCACTGTCATTCAGTGATGCCAGAATCGTGGGCCCTGGGGGAAAACAGTTACCCCCGCCATGATCTTCCGCAGTTTCCCACTATACCGTCCTCGTGCTCTCATACTAGTGTAGCGGTAGCTCTGCCCGGGTGCGAAGATTGTTCGGCTTTTTCCGCCAATAATTACGTCACCACGTGACGCTCGAGCAACCTGAGCGCATGAGTAAGAATCAGGAGATTCCCTTTGAATCTCGGTGAAACGCAGTGTTTCGAGTATATAGGCGTTCGGGACAAAAATCATAATTTCCAAATTAATTAATTTTCGACTTAAGTTCTCTAATACTTTTTTGAAGAGAATTCAAATATGCATTGATTGGCACATAAAAAAATATATGGTTTCTTTTAAGAAAAAAAAATATATCTTTACTTTTTATCGAATAAAAACTTTTTTGTAAATTTTCATTAACACGATTTATTGTCAACTGAAT